TCCCCGTGGGTGGATTGATAAATACCATCTACCATAGCAGGTGCATTCTTGCTAGCTCGACGTTTGGAAGCGTCAAAAATGCAGAAGATAGAATTGACTAAGTGGTCAGTTGGTTCCCTCCAAATTCATGGGATTGCGAATTTCATAGTTCCGTTTTTCCATCTGAATCATTCTGTAAACGGCAAAATCAAAATATGAGTATAAAATAGAAATATATTTCATCCAGTGTTATTGAAAATTTGTAAAACATTATCTGTTTTTGATTTTTGAAGTTTCTAAAAATCGTGAGCTGGATAGATACAATTCGTAGTTTGGATCCCAATTAATGTAGCAAACGCTTCAATAATACAGAATCGTCAATATTGAACATCTTACTTATTATAAAACGCAGATTGTCTCTCTCTCTGTGTGTGTGTGTGTGTGTGTGTGTCTGTACGTTTAGATATTGGATCGGATTTCCTACATTTTTCAACCGATTTCAACAAAACTTCACATTTTTTGGTAGATAGTGTTTCTTATTGCCTTGCAGACTTTTTTTCTTTATTTTTACATTCAGAATGCTTTAAAAATTCCATTTACAAGACAATTGTTTATAATAAAATTCTATTCAATCGATAGACTCATAACGATCGAAAAGAATGTTTTTGTTTGAGTTTGGGTTTGACCAATTCGTAAAAAAAAAACAAAATAAAAACAAAATAAAAACTAATTAAGACATGCGTGTCCGTCAACCTTAAACAATAATCTTTGTCAATTTTATTTTTCAGTTTTTATGATGGTCGATAATTGATCTATCACTTATTACATACCCGGGCAACGCCGGGATCTCCTGCTAGTCCGCAATATTCCGCATTTTTATGGTTCTTGGCAATGAGCAAGCATAGAAAACATCCATGATAGTTTGAACACCAATGCGCCATTGTTGAATATATTTAATAAATATTTTGGTTGGTTCTCTTCGTCTGTTGATGATCTTTTCAGTGTCTTGACCCGAAGCTTCGTAGCTGCTAAAACTGTTGCGTATATGACATTATTAACTTCTGTGATGGTTCCCAGTATTTAATCCGTTAAGAGTATTTCCAGTGCAACGGCGTATATTTGCACAGTGTGCTTATTGTACTTTGTCATATGTACTTTTGGGAGCTGGTCATTACATTTGTGTGAGAGTAACTCTGCTGTCTAAAAGGAAGTCTATCCTAACGTAGCTGGACTCATCTTCAGTGACATACTCTGGATAACAGCAGGTTATCTCACAGGTAGATTCTTCAGTAATATTTCCAGGGAGCTTATTATTTCATATCTTATTTAGTTTACTTTTTACCACATTCTCTGTCATATTTATTTCTACACTCATCTCTACCACTCATTGTCTTATTCTGTCTCATATCTAGTTTTATCTTATCTGCTTCTGAATTTAAGAGTCTTGTTTCGTAATATGTCCCTGCGGACATTGGCAAACTTGTTTGTGTCGAGAGGGGGTCTTATTCAATATCCTACTATAGTTCTCCATATATGGTATATCTGTTCGGTGGTGTTGTTTGCTGGATCTTCGAGTACAGTGAAGAACGATGTCATGACTCGTTGATACTGTTCGCCAGGCCATTTCTCTCGTTTTCTTTTATTAGCTGATTTGGTAGTGAGTCACTTGGTCCAAGGTTGGAAATATTCCGGGTTTGGTGACCAAGTGTGTCTTCGTTATTGGAAGAGTTTGTTCCAGTGACAGATTTTTCGATCCCAGACTGTTTCCTCTCTGAGGTAAGCGACATCTTGTTGACCCAGGGGACGACCGATCCGTTATGAATATTGTTCGCCATCATTGAGTTTTGTAATTATTTGCGTTGACAGCCAATGGGTAATTTTCTTCAAGTTAGCAGCACAAAGACCGTCGACAAAGACTAAGGAGTTTGTCCAGTCCACGAGATAGTGGCGGATTATATTCAGATATCCATGGTTTAAGAATTCATTACTGAGTACTCTGTTCAGTGGGGTACCATAGGCGTATGGAAAAGGTATTGACTATAATAAGTCTTAAATTAGTAAAAGTTGCATTGACTACTCCCAGATGAAATGTCAGAGGTGGAAATACATTTAAATAGTGGGTTATCACAACAATAAAAAAATAAAATGAAAGAATTGAAGTGAAATAAAGTCAAAGAGACTGAAAATGAAATTAAAGAAAAGGAAAATATAATTTCAAATTGTATAAAATGTAGGATAGCATACATGTTGAAAGGTGGACACAATTCCATCCGATAAATGCTCAACTTTCCGACGCCAATGAGAGTGATAGTTATCATGTTTTATAGGGTAAATCAACCCACCCACAACTACAAGTTAGCGGAAGGGTCATCAAAGATTTCATTAAACAAAGAAAAAGAAACTAAGAAAAAACACAAAATAGATTTTACATTTGGGGTCATTTCTCGACCACCTAGCTCCCAAAATTAAAATTCTCACCCAAAGAAAAGTCAGTCAAAAATGTCAGATTACACAACCTGTAGGCATATGCAAACAAAGGAAAAAAGGGAAAGAGAAAAAAAAACAGCCGATACGATCCATACATTATTATTATAATTATTATTATTATTATTATTATTATTTTCTTTGATTTCTGGCGTTTACACATTTTTTCCGGGTCCCGCCCAGGGACCTAAGGTTAGAAATGGCGTCATGACACTTTCCACTGACAAAAAAAAAAAATTAAATTACATAGATAAAACCCTTCGTAAGGTGTGGGCTGTACTTGTCAGAACAATTTTTTGTATCTCCTTGAGGCATGGACTTCCAGGAATCCCTTCAATTAGTCTACTGCAATCTTTTCCAACCAGTCACAGGGCACCAACTACAACAGGGACTTTTGATGTTCCCATATGCCACATTTTCGAGATTTCTATTTCAAGGTCCTTGTATTTTGACAACTTTTTGAATATCTTCAAAGATACATTGCAGTCAGCAGAGACTGCCATGTCAATAAGGAGGCACTGTTTTTGTTTGTGGTCTTTAATAACAATATCTGTCCGGTTGGCCTTGATTGTTCTGGCAGTGTGTATTGTGTAGTCCCATAGAATTGTAACAGGTCCTATCTCCGTAACCGGGTCTGGGTGGTGTTCATACTAGTTTCTTTCAGTTTCCTTCCCGTAGAAGTTGCAGATTTTCCAGTGCAGATATTGGCCCAGTGGGTGCCAACACCGTGCAACCTGATACAAGATGATCAATCGTTTCTGGATATTTATCACAGAATCTGCATTTTGGGCTGACACAATATTTTAGTATATGTGCTTGATAATTCCTAGTTAGCAAGCATTGGTCCTGCGCAGCAAGGATAAAACCTTCAGTTTCCGCTTTCAACCCTGCCACTGATGGGTACGGGTTTTGTCTACGTCAGCTTGTTTGGTACGGGCAGAGTATTGACCATGAAGCGATTTATCTTGCCATCGCTTCTGTATCTGGTCGGTTGCATTCGTCTTTGCTGTCTTTTTTTAGGTATTTTGCAGTTTCAGCCGGTGTATTGTGCTGTAGTTGCATCTCTACGCCCATTTGAAACTCCATTTTGAATTTGTTGGCTTCTTTCATTACGGAGTAAAGAAGGTTACTACTTTCATGTTCCTTGACGCATACCATCTTCCAGTCTTCTGTAGTTTCCAAATATCTTTGGAGGCCAATTGTTGTAGTTTTGTAGGACAGTTCTAGTTGAACTAATCCTCTGCCTCCTTCGGATCTGGGCACATACAGTCGATCAACATCTGCTTTGGGATGATGCATGCGATAGCAAATGAGAAGCTTTCTCGTTTTGGCGTCCATTCTCTTAATTTCAGCTATGGTCCAGTTAAGGACATTAAAGCTGTATTGCATCACAGGGACAGCCAATGTGTTTATGGCTGATATCCTGTTTTTTGAGTTTAGCTCAGTATTTAGTACCAGACGTACACGCCTGTAGTACTCTTTTCTTATTTTTTCCTTCATTTGGGGGTGTTGTATGCCATCTCCTTCGCTAATTCCTAGGTACTTATAAGATTCATCATGCTCCAGTTCCCTAATCTTTGTGACAAAATCTAAATCTATTAAGGGTGTTTCTGTAATTATTATTATTATTATTATTATTATTATTATTATTATTATTATTATTGCCTTGAATTTCTGTTTCGGGTCTCAAACAGTTAAATGAGGTCAGAAATGAATTTTCCACTGAGCCTTTTCGTAAAAACAAAAAAGAGAAAAGAAAGACAACCTAAGTCCATATACATTTTACACTGACAGAACCCTTCGTAAGGTGGGATCTGTATTAGTGTGTACATTTTTTTTGTATTTCTTAAAGGTTATTTTGAGATTTCCATTTCAAGATCCTTTTATAGATCCTTTTATTTTAATAGTTTTTTTGAAGATCTTCAAAGATACATTACAGTCTGCAAGAACTGCCATATCAATAAGAAAGAATAATCTGTCTTTGTTGTCTTCGATCACGAAGTCTGGGCAATTGGCTTTGATGATATTGTATTATTATTATTATTATTATTATTATTTCATCATGGCGTATTTTTGTGTTTAGAATTAAATTCGTACGAGCAGGAATAAGTAAACAGCTATTTTGTCTTGGTCTAAGCTGAAGATCTAACTACATAAGTACTATTTTGGGTCGTGCTGAAAAGTATTCAATACCTTTTGCGGACATATGGATATAGCATTGTAGGTTCCATCGTCATATATAAGCTGCTGTTTTTTTTTTTCATCTCATGAGCTTTTAAAGTGTCTGTGCGAAGGCAAAGTGGAATAAATACGTGCAAGAATAACATTAAATATGTGAAGTTGAAACTGCATATGTAAAGAGGGCAAATGTTGAAATCGTGTGCTGTGTGAGCAGCTGTAGATTTCCTTCCTCCTCTTGATTTCCTTTCAAATGACGCTGGTTTATATTCTCAGATATTCACCAATGAGTAAAGATGCGTGGCGGGTATTTTCACACATAGGAAGAAGCATTTCTTGGTCCCACCCATAAAGCGTACATGCCATTAATTCTTCGATTTACTTTCATTTGGATTTATTTCAATTTATTTTTCTTTCTCTGTTCTTTCTTTCTTTCTTTCTTTCTTTCTTTCTTTCTTTTATGCCCTCTATTTCCTTGTCTGTTTTTTTCGCTTAGCTTCTTTTGTTATTATCCTCTTTTTGTTTGTTTGTTTCTTTCTTTCTTCTTTCATCTTCTCGATTTTCTTTACTGTTTTTCGCTTTCTTTTTTTTTATTCTTGTCCCTCTTCAGTTTCTTTTTTTCTTTCTTTCTTTCAGGCCATTTATTTTCTTGTCTGTTTTTTTTCGCTTAGTTTCTTATTTTGCTTTTGTCCTTTATCACTTTCTTAGTTTCTTTCTTTCTTTTTTTCTTTCTTTTATGTCATCTATTTTCTTGTCTGCTTCTTTCGCTTAGCTTCTTTTGTTTTTGTTCTTTATCATTTTCTTTCTTTTTTTTCTTTCTTTCTTTCTTTCTTTCTTTCTTTTGTGCCCTCAATTTTCTTTTCTGTATTTTTCATTTTCTTTTTCTTTTATCCTTGTCCTTTTTAATTTCTTTCTTTCTTTCTTTCTTTCTTTCTTTCTTTCTTTCTTTCTTTTGTCCCCTCAATATTCTTTTCTGTATTTTTCTTTTTCTTTTATCCTTGTCCTTTTTAATTTCTTCTTTCTTGCTTTCTTTCTTTCTTTCTTTCTTTCTTTCTTTCTTTCTTGGCCCGTCAATTTTCTTTTCTGTATTTTTCGTTTTCTTTTTCTTTTATCCTTGTCCTTTTTAATTTCTTTTTCTTTCTTTCTTTCTTTCTTTCTTTCTTTCTTTCTTTCTTTCTTTCTTTCTTTTATCGCCTCCATTTTCTTTACTTTTTTCGCTTTTTTTTTTTGTTCTTGTCTATTTTGGGTTACTTTCTTTCTTTCTTTCTTTCTTTCTTTCATTCCCTCAATTTACTTTCGGAACCATTTCGACCTTTCTTTCTCCTTTCTACTATTAATATTCTTCAATTCTTTTGTTGTTATTTCTGTCTTTTTATATCGTTTAAACAGTTTTCTTTATATATGTATTCTTTGCATGTTTACCTTGTTTGATTTTCAATTTTACATTCTTTCTTACATTTTTTCATTTTTTTCTATCATGTTCTTTTTTGTTTCTTTCTTTCTTTCTACCTGTTTTTCGGTTTCTCTCTCTCTCTACCTGTCTTTTTTTTTACTGTTCTTTCTTTCTTTCAGACATTTTACTTTCTTTCTTTCTGCTATCTCTTGTAGCCGTTCCTCTCCGCTGCTTTTCTCTTCAACACAGAGTTCCCACGACACACTTTTCAAACTGAACTTTTTTTTTCATCATGGATGTTTTTCGTTATCTACCCACTCGACCCTGAGGCTAAACGATACAATTCTCCTCATCCGAGTGACGAGATTTTTAAGGAGAACTTTCCCTATTTGTCGCTATTCTTTTTTATTCCACAAATGTCTAACGCCTTTCACATATCAGCATCTTCGCATCTAACTAGTTCTGTCTTTTCTCTCACTCTCTAAGTTCATCCCACGTGACTTGTATAAAGAAATATCTATAATTAAACAACACAGACTTACAATATTTCGTATTTTACAGTTTGTGAATAGTTTTTATTGCATTTTGTTTTTAAATAATAGTATTTTAAATAACACACACACACACACACATATATATATATATATATGTGTATATATGGATTAATATGAATAAATTAACAAATATACATATAACTATGTTCGAAGTGCAACTCAAATTGTCGTTGTTTACCAATTCATCAGGCACGTACTATTATTTTTCATTATATATATATATATATATATGCATACATATTGATCTCATGGGAGAAACGATAAATTAAACACAGATTCATACGTCAAATTTAATATAAACATAATATAATATTGGGGTGCAGATATATATATATATATATATATATATATATATATATATATACACATATATATATATATATATATGCGTGTGTATATATATATATATATATATATATATATATATATATATATATATATATGTGTGCATGCATATATATATATCCATGTATATATGTGTGTTTTGTGTGTGTGTCAGAGAGTGAGTGTATAATTTCTAATATGTAGTTTAATATATATAATTTAACATATCTTACGTCGCATAATTTTTTCAATGTTTGAAACTTCCCCATTTTCATTTTTTTATTTTAAATTTTATTCCTGTGCACATGAATTTCTTAGTTTTTTCTTTATTCTTTCTTTAATATTTTCTCTTACTTGTTTCTTTCTTTATTCTTTCTTTCTTCAAAATTTTCTTCAATTTGCTTCACTTCGAAATTTGTTTCTTTCTTTCTTTCATTTCACTTCATTTTCTGTTCTTTTATAACTTTTCTTATTTCTTTCTTTTTATCTTTTACTTTCTTCATTCTCTCTTTAATATTCTCTCTTACTTGATTCATGGTCTTTTCAATTTCTTTTTTCTTAGTTTCTTTCTACTTGCCTAACCACCTACTCTTTCTTTCTCTCTTTCGGTCATGTCCATTAATATTTTCTCTTGATGCTTTCTTTTTTTTTCTTTCTTTCTATTAGTATTTTCGCCGATTTTATTCCGCTTTATTTTGTTTGTTTTTGTTTCTTTCTTTTATTCCACTACATTTTTTGTTATTTAATATATTCTTTTATTTGGTTCTTTCTTTCTTTCTTTCTTTCTTTCTTTCTTTCTTTCTTTCTTTCTTTTTTCTCTTATTTATTCATATTTATATTTTCTTTTACTTGATGTTTTCTTCCTTTTTTGTCTTTTTTCTTTCTTTCATTCATTTCTGTTCTTTATTATTTTTTTATTGACAATAATATCTTCTGTTGTTTAAGTCTATCTTTCTCTTTCTTTCCTTCTTTTTGTTATTTAATATTTTCTCTAACTTTATTCTTTCTTTCTTCATTTATTTTTCTTATTTTTCTTTCTTTTTTTTCTTTTTCATGCTTTTTGTTTTTCTTTGATTTCTTTCTTTCTTTTTTGTTTTCCTTTGTTTTTCTTTGTTTTTGTTTCTTATTTTCTTTCATTTTTCTTTCCTTTTCTTTTCTTTTTCTTTCGTTCTTTTTCCTATTTTTCTTTCTTATTTTTTCTTTATCTTTCTTTATCCTTTCTTTTTTGTTTTTCTTTCGTCTTTCTTTCTTTTTCATTTCTGCTTTTCTTTCTTTTTTCTTTCTTTATCATTCTTTTGTTTTTCTTTTTTCTTTATTTTTCTTCCATTTTTTTCTTTCTTTTTCTTTCTGTCTTTTCGAATTTTTTTTTGTATCTTTTTCTTTCTTTTATCTTTCTTTTTTGCTTTTCTTTCTTTTTTGTTTTTCTTTCTTTTTTCTCTCTCATTTTAAGACCAACTCTCTTCAACTTTTTGTTATTCCTTATTTTTGCCTTTCATTTTCTGTTTACTTTGCATTCATTTTGTTATCTTCTTCTTCTTCTTCTTCACGTTTCTTTTTTATTTTTTCATCCTTATTTCCTGACGAACATTTTTTTCAAAAATACCTTCAGTTTTCTTATATGAGTTCTTCTCTATCTTTTCATTTTACTTTTTTCTTTTTTTTCCCTCTGTAGGTCTCTCAAACATTCGCTTTTTGGGCATCCCCACCCAATTCTCACTCCACATCTGTCTTCTTCTCTCTGTAACGCTTTGCCACCTTACCTTACCTGACTTCACAAGTGAAGACGTCTCATCATTCTGCTCTGGTTTCAACCCTCTTCCTGTTTACTGCATTCCGCCCACCCTAAGCATGCGTACCAAGAGAAGAGCAATGTATGCCACCGACGAGTCGACGACGGCGGCTGGGTGGGTGTCTTTATGGCAGGATGGGAGACCCTGAAGAGAAAGTTTTATACTCGACACCGATGCTTGATGACGACCCGATACCCACCCAGCGTCTTTTCTAAACGAAGGCACTATGCCAACAGACAGTCGGTGAAAGATCAGCGCGATCGCACGTACTCACACGCATGCGCGTAAATGCGTCCGCATTTAGCGCATTTTTATCATGTTAGCGTTGTTTTCATTATTCAGGGTTGAGTGTGAGAGGGATGTAGAGAGATGGAGATTAATAAATAGACGGAGATAGGGATAGAGAAAGAATGATGGCGATAGATAGATAGATAGATAGATAGATAGATAGGGAATAACGAAAAATTTGAAAGAAAGAAAAAAGTATTAGGGCATCAAAATGTGTATATATACAGAAATAGAAGAGAAAAAAATGCTGTTTAAAAAAAGGAACAAAAAAAATTAAGGGTAAAAAAGAGATACACAAAGAAAAAATAAATTAAACAAAGTACAAAAAAAAGAGAATTGATTTTGAAAGAGAAAAAAATCATACTAGAAACAAAGAATAAAAGTAGAGAAAAACAGAGAAAGAGAAGGGGAATATTAAAATATATGAAATATAAGAATGAAAAAAGAAAGAAAATAGTCATTAAATTGAAAGAACAGAGAAGTGTTAAAAAAAGTAAGACTAAAGAAAAAATGAAAATGAAGCCAGAAGAGGAGGAAACAGTTAAAGAAATTAATAACGTCATAAAGAAAGAAAGAAAAAAGGAAAAAAAAATATGATAAAAAATATAAATAAAAAAGGATGAAGGTCAAACAGCATGATAAAAAATAAAAAAAAAATGCTCAAATGAGCACAGAAAGAAAGTACGAAAGAAATATGAGAACAGAAAGAAGAACTTAAATAAAAAAGAAGAAAAAGCAAGCAAGCTAGAAAGAAAGAAAGAAGGAAAGAAAAAAGCAAGAAAGAAAGAAATAAATAAAGAAAGAAAGAAAGAAAAATTATGAGGACAGGAAGAAGAACGTAAATAAAAAGGAAGAAAAAAGCAAGCAAGAAAGAAAGAAAGAAAGAGAGAAAGACGAAAGAAAGAAGGTAAAGCAAAATATAACAAACGAACAAAAAACGAGAAACATTTAAATGGAGGAAAAAGAAATAAGTTGAGAAAAGTCAGAAGTTGAAAAAATCTAGCGAACACCCAGAATTAACAATGCAAGAAAAAAGGGAAAGGTAAGAAAACAGAAGTAAAAAGAGAATAAGTAAATAAAAAAGAATGAAAGAAAGCTTAATAATATTCTCTTATGCTTTTTTTTTATCAGATGAGAGGAAGCAACAGTTATCTGAGCAGCTTGTTGATGTTTCGGGAATTAATGTGTGTGAAGTATTGCCGTTTATTGTGTACGTGTGTTCGACCGTCGTCGCTAGAGTAACAGCAAATTTGCTTCAATTAAATTGATGACACATCTTGTTGCTTTTTGAACAACGGGAAAAATATTCTCTATCGAGTCAAAATAGAAGCACATTGAACAAACATCCAGAAAGTATCTTTTTATTTCCATTTCCTATGTGGTTGCCATTTGTATTTTCCTCCGATCTTAATATTAAAAATAAGTAGGAGAACCCCTTGTAAATTACATGGATTTACCTATAATTTTTTTAACACTGCACGCTGCGCTTTTTAACCTATGATTTCTTTCTTTTTATTTGCCATGTTCTTTCAGGACGTAGGCGATCATGGCTCTCCACCTCGTTCTATCCCTTGTAACAAGTTCCTTCGCTCTACTTCCTCATCCAGACCACGTTCTGTCATCCACTTGCTTAAGCCCTGTAGGTATGTCACGCGTTGTTTTTCTTTGTCTCTCTTTCCCTCTATTCGACCCGTGAGTATCAAATTCTTCAGGCCCTCCTTCCTCATTAGGTGTCCCAGAAACTTCACCTGCCTCTTTCTGATGTTAAGTATAAGCCTCCTCCTACATGTTTGCATCTTCTCTAAGACCTCACTGTTGCTCACAAACTTGGTCCATGATATCTTTAGCATCCTTCCGTAGAAATTGTCACGTAACAGTTCAGTATTCTTTGTTACCAAAGAAATCCTTCTATCTCGCAATACTCAACCCAGCTTTTTGGAATGCGTCTTTGGCCATCCCAATACGTCTACGGATCTCAGTGTCGCACTTATGACTAATCCCACATTATTATAAGAAAAGTGACTTTTTTTAAACGTTTCACCCTAAGCAAGGCGATAACAACACTCGATCGTAGAGAATTACAGGCAGTGAAAGTGAAAGAAAATGAGAAGATTTAAAATAGGGAGGATTAAGGAAAGGACAAAAACGCAAGAGAGTTTGTCGGCGTTAACTCCTTAATTTCCTAATTGTCACTAAGTCAAGTTTTCCCTACACTATAAATATTGGGCGACTTCTTGCCTCGTTTTCTTTTCTTCAGGCCTCGTGCCGCATCCTACCTCGCGTGGAGGTGAGGTAAATTCTCTTTTCTAATTTGCATTTCAGCGGACGCATTTAAAAATGTGTTCTCTCGCAGAAATCTGCGTTTTCGCCCACATGTGAGAAACGCCATGAAATAAACGGACTTTCACCAATGTACAAACTCTTTACATTCACACACAAATACAAATGGTGATGTCTTTCTTCATTGTAAATTTTGTTGTTTAATACATATATTTTTGACATATATATATATCGGTATTTTTTGTTTTCTTTACATCTTCGGTTTGACTCAACCTTTGTCCGCCAAGTTCTTGTAGTTGGAACTTCTTCTAGCAGGAATAAAACAGCATGTGTTCCTAACCTAACAACACGCAAACCCAACGGTCCTCTACAAGTTCAAGAAGAGAGAAAATGGCGATTATTGTAGGATTTAAATTTCTAAAGATTGCGGGCAACAACTGATGTTAATACCTCAAATTGATTTAATAAAAAATAGAAAACTTATTGTTATTAAATACACCATTACATTACCAATATTAACCACGAGACGTGCAATTGTTATATGCAATACAGTTCCTCATTTTTACAGCAAACAAAAGACTTAACTTCTTCCAGGGTACGTTTACATTTATTACGTGCAGCCACGAATAGGTGTGTGTTTTCGTCGAATCTACCACGCAGGCATAGTCAGAAAGAATGTGTGTAAAATTAATCTCTCGAGTAGTTTGTAATACATCTATTTATCATCTCTCTTGCGTCTCTGTCTTTGGGCAGAATGCACCCAGTGGCGGCTCCGTCAAAGGACAGAATCGCAACTGAAGAAAATTATACTGAGAGGTGCCCAACCCTGGAGAAGAGCTGCCCCAGACCTGGCCCTCTCCTTGCACCAAAAAGAGAGGGATCGGTACTCGCACCGAGCCCAGCGCAACCAAGGGTTGCGGAAGCTGCAGGCAAATTTTGTTACTAGACCGGGTGTACACGTTCAGGTACCCACCTTAAAAACTGGCTTTGTGTCACAACTCGTCTTAGTGGGGATACAGAGTAAATACCTAGTCGGAAATAATGGTACCTGTGGGCTATAGCGGCAAGAAATGCGGGTGTGAATCACGGCAACAGTGTTCAATACACGGATGAATTGTAGATTTAAAAAATGTAAAAGAAGTATCTGACGAGAAAAATATTTTGGCAACATACAATGGAAGAAATTTGTGGAAAGCCATGATTTCCTTCGCCCCAAAGGGTCACAGCACATTGTAGAAGAATATAGTCTCTTTTAAAAATAAGGAAATATCCTCAAGAAATTGTTAGGTTATGAAACACGATTTGACTCCTAACAACAAAACAACAAACAACTGACTTATTCTGAGACCCCACCCACAACTATCACTCTCTGTGCCACATTCTTTTTTGACTCTTTTCGTTCCGGTCTTTCTTTCTGTTTTAATTTTCATGCCCCTCTCTTTTTCTCAAGACAGAATTTGGATTTTATAGTATCCGCGTAACACACACCATACAAATATAGGTTCAAGCATATTAATATATAGATAATAATAATAATAGCTTGTTGCCAGCAGGTTTCCTAGCACACTCGACAAAACAAAGTGCGTAATTTCGTGTCTCTGTGAGAGTTCATCGTTATTTCTCATCTAAACAGACTCATCACTCATGTAGATTAACGACTGACTAGATTTGTCCGAAAACAACAAGTAAATATTATGATGACAGAATGTCTAAAGAACAAACCGTCAGTTGTAAGAAGATATATGTTCGTTAACAAAGGGAAAAGTTATGAATTGAAGATATCAATATTAACCAAAGAAGTATTTTAACAGACGACGCCGTAAAATGTGGTACCGATGGTATATTGAAAGAGGGAACAGTACCTACTAAAATCTAAAGAAGTATTAAGAAACAGGAAATCTTTATTATAAACAAAGAAGAATTGAAAATTAGCATTTTTATCATCCTTCCTATATGGTAGTGAATGTGGTGTATGGTGCAGAATCTTGTTCGCAGACATAGGATCTACTCAGGGCAGCACTTCATAGATTAAGAGGTAATATGAGGCAACAGATATGTGGTTACACAGAAGGATGCTGGGAATACCATAGGCGGAGAATGTTAGCAGCGAGGAAGGGAAATGATAACAAAAGGATCAGTCACACTTAGAGACAGGAAAAACTTAAGCAGGAAAGAGTACTTGGAACATTTCAAGCACACAAGAGGTACTAAAAACACAGGATGTGCTGAATTGATGAGATTAAGAAAGAAATAGCGGGTAACCTAAGATACGACCTTTGTGCAAATAAATAGCATTACAAGTAATAGTATGGATATTAAAAAAAAAACAAGCATTGCCAAGATTACCGGAGTTTAGGAAGTAGAGAAGAACTATAAACTCCTACGTTCTGAAAGTATTATGGCTCATAAATGATGAGACACCCTCGCCTGGTACATTAATTTCATGTGTTCTCTAGATGGTCAAATTCTGAATATGGAAATAAGGTAATATATATATATATATATATATATATATATATATATATATATATATATCGAATCCAGGTTAAACCCATTACATTCACTTACGTGCTAATACCCTTGGGAAAAGTGTGAATCCTCTTCTTCTCCCTCCAGCTTTGGGTTAAATAGCAGGACTGACTGGTCTAGGAGAAGGACAACTCTGAATTCAAAACCTGAGGGGGGGTGTTTGGAGACCTTGTGGCACGTAGTGCACCAGGTCTCTGTATTCGGCCCTTCAAAAAGTGTGGATGGTCCTGCACGAAGCCTTCAACACTGTAATCGAATCTCATGTGCCAGTGTCGGGCTGTTAGTTTCCTGGAAACTGATCTGGTTGACCCTCATACGTCGAACCCGACGGGAGAATCGATTTTATATATATATATATATATATATATATATATATTGTTTTATATTTGACGACATTTTATGGCAGTTCTCTGTGAATATATATTCGGTTGGGTGAATTATACTTTTGAGCACTGATTATTAAATTTGCATTGCCTTCTCTCATAAATTCTAGAAAGAGTTGATAGTTTCCACGAGGCTGCCAACTACTAACAAAAAAAGAAAAAAGAAAAGCGGATTTAAGTATCATTGAATCGAGAATAAAAAAATAAATTCCGGAAATTTGCTTACAAATATTGCTCTACTCAGGTATTGAATAAAAAATAGTTAGAAGAGGATTCATCAACCACGTGAAAGCTGGAAGAAGAATAAAAAAAGAAAATCCTTACCTTCCTCCGCAAAGATAAAGTATGCGTGTGTTTGTTTGAAGTTTGGGGTGTACACGAAGTGTCACCCCAAAATTGAAGGACTATATCTATGTAAAATATTACTTAATGTTATCTTCTATCTACAACACTTAATCATAAGTATACTGGTTCGCAAAAATCTTGTTAAAAAAACAGTAACGTCATTTAGTCATACTAGATTTGTGTTACGCGCACGGTTGATGTAACATCAATTCTATACACATGATAAACATTTTCTTTTATAATAGATTGGGAGATTATATAACTATAGTTAACTTAAGATTTAAATCATTTTATTCTAATGTTCACCCAATATAAGGTTGAAGACTCACTCAAGGCTACTGTGTGATGCTCTATGAGAGTTCGAAAATTTCATGGAATTCATGGGGCTATGCAAAAAAGATAAGAGTTAACCTTAGACTTGAAGAGGTTAAGAATGTAGTGACTGGGAAAACACACTTGGAAAAACGTTTGGTGAGAAGCTGCCTGAATGCTATTCCATTTCACTATTTAGAATACAAATGGAATGGCAATTATTCTTGCGTATGTAACATATTGTGTACCAGTGGGAACGGTTAGACGTGGTGGAATTAAGCAAGATTGGTCGTAAAAACACATGCCATGGAAATAGCGATAGAGCAGTCAGATGTTGGTGATGTGTCGTCAGTGGCAAAGGATTTGTAATCTGGAAAATAATTCATCACCCATAATGACACGTAGACGCTTTTGAAACTCCATCCAGACACGCCGTTCTTACACCATTTTTCGACTGGTCTGACTGCTGTAAATATAAAGTATTACAGGTGGAGTCAGACACCCACTGGAGTGGTACAAGGAACTAGGCATTTTCACGAATATTAATCTATCTATCTATCTATCTATCTATCTATCTATCTATCTATCTATCTATCTACACATAAAGAGACGAATGGTAGATTTGTAAACGCACAAGATGGATTCTTACGCGAAAGATTATCTGTCACGAAACAATGGCCCAAATTTCCTTGCTGTAGATGAAACTATTGATTCAATTCAGGGGCTGCATTTCAACTTAGTGGAAAACGTCAGGCCAAGGAGGCGTACTATATTTCTCTCCTACAGTCTAGCGCCAGCTATGTTGATGGCAGGCAAAAATGATTTTCTGTGGAGGTTAAATGAAAGCAGTTTATTTTGTGGGGCGTTAAAATTTAAACGATATACAAGGTGCGATTGGTAAAGTTTCGCCATTTTATATTTTTTAATTTCGCACTTGTGCGTTGTTTGTTTTTGATTTTGAGAGTAGAGTATATTAGAGTCAGTTGGGCACTATGACGCAATTTACTTTTCTAGAAAAACGGCATACTGTAGTGCTTGGCAGTTGCAGCGGAAGTGTGTTTTGCTGTCCATGTGTGGAGAGTGCACAGGATTCGCAAAGAATTGGATGGGTCTAATTGTGCTTACGAAGGGAAGGCAGATCGGAAAACTCACTCTGATCGATCTGATAAGAATATAAATCCTGATTTTGTTGGTGAGGGCCTCGGACTCAACATAGATGTGTACACCAACTGCCCTGAAGAGATAGTGCTGCCCTGGGTTAAGAGGATAACTGCTGGTAGATCCTATGTCTGGTAACAAGATTCTGCACCATACACCACAAGCGGGAGAAAACAGTCAGGTCTGTTAGACAATTTCTGCGACCACATTACATCTGGCCACATAACTCCCCAGACTGCAACTCCTTGATTATCATGTGGGGTGCAGTTGAGCGAAAAAAGTCTTTGTAATACCAAAGATGAAATGAATGCAAGTATTATCGCAGCATTCCGGAACTTAAACAAGGAGACCGTCCAAAAATGTTGCAGGAGATTTGGAAGGCGTCTGGAGGCCATGATTGAAGCCAATGGCGATTCTCTCTATATTTCTAAGATGAGGTATTATGAACACTCTTTACATTGAAATAACTTCCACATATACCTCCCAGAAATACCTTACCATTATGAAGGACGTATTTCTGGGTGGTATATGTGGGCAGTACTTCTGTCTGTATATATATATATATATATATATATATATATATATATATGTGTGTGTGTGTGTGTATTACTTCAGATGATATTTTTAGTGAATAACCGTCATTATTTATTGTATTTATGGTGATACTCTTCGTAGCCAAGCGGTAAACGCAAAAGAGTATTCAGTTTCAAATCCTGCTGGAGAGCATATTAACTTTATTAAGTTAATTGAGTACGCAGGCCGGTAGACGAAAAAAAGATACTATCTGAAATAATCGGAGCAACTACTTAACTATGTCTATGCGCTAAAAATAATATTTGAAGTAATAAAAATTTATCAGATGAAAATTATATATATATATATATATATATATATATATATATATATATATATATATATATATATATTATGATGTGTTTCAATTTAATGATTTTCGAAAATAAATGCCTCTCTGATTCGCGTGCGTAATTTCCATATTCCATATTCTTTATGTTATCAAATGAGTGTTTTAATAAGTTATGGGGATTTGACTTCCAAGTCTTTTACGAAATGTTGCCAACATTAGGAAAAGATAATCAAGCTCTTGACTAAAAAAGAAGCAATTTTAATTCCCAATGTCGCCATATTAAATTTAATGACACATAACACCTGACGAGGGAACGTTTCACATCTACTTGTGTCAGATTCGTTTGATTCATTTGCTCAAGTTAAAATCTGAAATGATGAGCTTAACGTTGAAAAGGTTTTATAAATGCAATCAAAAAATAATTTTAGCTTCCTTGGAGAAAAGATGCGATCGTTTGATGGCCTCTTTCTAAAAATTGGGTGTGGTGAAATTTGTAGTAGAGTCATTACCTTTGAAGGAGAGTAAAGAATTTTGTTATGTGGATGCACTTACTAGCCTTCAGTCAAGTTAGAAATAGGGCAAACCAACCTGATTTAAAATTCGACATTTGTTCTGGTACCGGGCAACAAATGACACGATTAAGGGTGACCAGAAGCAAACTTAACTCATACACTATGCAGGAATAATTGTTATATTGTTGCTGAGTATTTGTTGATAGTGGAGTGGACGCATTCGAGTTTTCTAAAATAAATTAACTGATTTCTTGAGCGATTTGTTTGTTTAATGCCATATCAACACCCTATGGATCATTTAATGCCGGAATTTAATTTTCGTGGTTGTTTGAAGTAATAAAAATATCATACGCGTTATTCTAATCTCACAATTTAATACATGGTAGATGATTCACTGTTTATGTGCATATAAATGCTAGAGAAGAGAAAACCTCGGCGTGGTGATTATGTGAGGGTTAGGTAGCTTATCACGCTAAATCATTTACGACTGAACAGTGAGTTCCATTCTCACTAGGTGCTCCATATTTCGGCCTAGTGCCACATCTAAGCTACGTTTAGAAACTATCCCGAGGACACTTCGAGGCTGTGTACTGGTTAGCAAGCTTGTCTCGCTAGAAGAATTACGGCTGAATAGTGAGTTCGATCCTCGATGGTTGCCTCCTACTTTCGGCCATGTGTTACATCTCAGCTACGCTTGGAAAAGCATTATATATTTTTCAGGGGATATATATTCCAGAGGCTGGAATGTGTGTGTTTTATGTTGTAATTTTGAATCTATTTTGGAATGAAATTTGATTTCTTATATCATATCATATCATATATATATATATGTGTGTGTGTGTGTATCTGTGTGTGTGTGTTTAATTAATTGTCTACCATAAAAATTAAACTGCTAACGTCATTGTCAACAATAACTCACCTGCAAGATCCAAATTACAGAGGACCAATATAATTTAGGTCACATTAAGATACACATGGAGCACCAATAAACTTTATCCGTAACATGCTCGTTGATAGTAAAAATATAATAGTCTCATCATATAAGATCCAATCTGTGGTTTGTACTGCATCTATGCTGAGGTTATATATGTAACGTCAGTCTTATATATGTTATGTTGTATATCCAATATAATTATTTATGAGTTTGGATTGATCAGGAAAACAGTTCATTAAAGGACATGTGAATTATTAAATTATATATATATATATATATATATATATATATATATACTAGCAATATGGCCCGGCGTTGACCGTGCTTGATTCAAAAATCGTACGACTCATACAGCAATCGCTATCACTTGACTTAAAATATTTTTGCCGTTCCTTGCCTTTAAATGAATGCCCTTTGCCTTGCTGATGTTGCTACATGCCTTACTTCTTGCCTATCTCACACTGCGAATTTTTTCTAAGCTCTATGCTAAACGTTAAATCTGTTACGAAAAAAGAACTAAACAAAATGAACACTAAACGATCAGCTTTAAAAATGACTCGTAACTAGAAAAACCGAATGAAAAAAGAATGTTAACAACAAATACTTTTTCGCACCCAACCCAGTTCGCAATAATCAGAATCAACATTAATTTTAAGCAAGCGAATGAGCCAATTGGAGTAAAGTGCCATGCAGATTTAAATTTTTCCCACTTGGGACGAATGCAGTTATCGATTTTTTTTGTATGTTAGCATGCTAGTTAATAATCCTGTCAGTCAGTTGTTGGCTCTTACGCTGGCCAATAGAATCTTCCTGCCTATTCGTGGCAGCCAGCTATAGGCTCTCACCCTGGCCAGTAGAAAATGGCCGCAAACTAAATGAAAACTGCCGTAGAAGCATGAAAAAATCTATTATTTCCACTATCGATGGGAGTTCGGAAATACAAAGTCGGTCTTGGCCTTTCCACTAACTTGGAGCACGTGCATGTAAATTTTAGTGCAAATTCGTCGAAAATTGCGGCCGTGCATTCGTTACACACACACACACACATTCTGCCATATT